AAAAAACTGTTTCTAAGTGTATTTTTCTCAAAAGTACTTCTCAAAAAAGTGCTTTTGGAGAGAAGCTACTTTTTTCTGCTTCTCCAAAATTGCTTCTGCTTCTCCTCAAAATCACTTTTCTTCCTTCCAACAGCTTGGCCAAACACCTCAATTTTTGGCCAAACAGGCTATGAGGCTACTCCTGTGGAGTTTGTAGATGAGGGATTTGATAAAATTCCTCTTGATTAGTTGACATAACTGCAAGGGCGGATCCATAACTTGGATTATGGGTACGTGAACCTATAGTTTCAAGGTCAAATTAGGTATTTTATGTATATATTTTTAGTATTGGTATAATATTATCTACTGACACCTTGTATACAGGTAAAATAGGGGCTAGTGATTACCTCGATTTCTCGATGGGGGATACAAAGCAAGGACATAACTATAGGGAATCAGGATCGAAGCTAGGAACCTCTCGTACTAAGGCCCGAATGAAGCACCTACTATCGGGGCCATCAAGACAACTCTCCTCTAATTCGGTTCGGGCTCCGAGACCTCAGAAAGCATTACCGGACGGTTGCACACGATTAACGAAGGCCGTGATATCCGCGCTCAACCGGATATCATGGCGTGGATTTCGGCCCGTATCGGCAGCAGATCAGTGATTAGCAAAAATGAATATTTTTACCTTTCTTAGAATTGTACTTAGGGTAAACTCCCCTACTATATAAAGTGGGAGTTTATTATTCAATAGCAAGAATGTAACATGCATTCCAAGGCAATATACACTTGTTTTCTCTTGCTTCAAAGTTGTTCAAAGCTCTTGTTCTTGTTCATAGCTCTTCATAGATATTTGGCTCCGAACCGAGGCCAGAACAATCACTAGCTCATACTCGAGCTTGGATTTAACATTACAACTGGTTTGATTGTTTGTTTTACCTTTAATTCGTTTAACTTTATTGATCAATTGTATTGGATTAATCCAGATATCCTTAAAACCGCATATAAATTCAGTTGTTATCCATTTTTAAGGGTAAACACACCTTTTTAAAAAAAAAATTGAATAGTGCACTTGGTTGAATACTGAGTTATTTACCCAAAGGAATAGGGATTGATTCTCATTTTATACTTTTTTTCTCCTTTCTTTAGTGGTACACCCATGTTCTAGAAATCCTAGATCCGCCTTTGGACATAAGTATGTTAAACCACTATAAACATCAACTGTTTGATGGTGTTCAGAGCTCTCTGCAATTTTCTCCACCAGCCCTCGCCAGATGGTTCAACTTCTGGAGTCCCGTAGGAAACTGTGACTGACCTATTACATAATGTTGCTCCAACCGTCCCGCAACTAGCTTGTGTGCCAACAACCGTGTCATTACTCATCACAACATAACTCTCCTCAAGCCCACATGAATTTGAGTCGCCTTTGTGAAGTTTATTGGTTTGGATGTGGCGAAACAAAAAGTTTCCCCAAGATCAAACTTGAAAGAAGTGAAAAAAATTCTCCGACAAAGAATGTTAAATTGATGTTATATACCTTTAAAACCTAATATTTTACACATATACAAAATGTAATTTTTCCAAGAAGGATGGTCGCCCCTAAGTTAGTTACTGTTGTTTTATATGCAAAAACCTTGGCAAGTGGTTGATGTTAGATGTTTAGCTTGCACTTTTTTGTCTCCCTCTGAATTGGGCAATGTTTATTTCTTAAAGACAAGGAATGTTATTATGGCCAAAAAGAGTAGAGTGTATAATTTGATTACCATTTTTGTTGTTAAAAAAAATCTATACACTCTCCATACAACAAGAAAAATAAATCAAATGACAAAAAAACATATATTTGCTATGTATTAAATAGTGTGGCTAATATGTTAGTTAAAAAAAGAATTTTTACCTCTTATAACAAATGTTAACACCTTATTTATTTTAAATAAATATCATTTAAAAAAATTATATTCTATGGATACCTTTTAAGGTTTATAGCAAAATATTTAATTTTGGTTACCTCCTAACCCTAAGCCACTAAATACGCTAATCAGTTACACTATTTTTTTTCTCTCTACTTTGATACATCCCATTCTCTTCCCCCATCCCATTAAAATTTTTGCTCTCCTCCTCCTTCTAACACACAACGACAACAAACCCTAACCCACACAAAACAAGCGCAAACCGTCATTCTTTTTCGCTAAGTATTTAGAGATTATTATAAGAGAGATATCGAGCAGCACAGGTCAGAGCTAAAAGGAAAGGATGGTAATTACAAATTGAATCTGCAAAAAAAGATAACAAGGACTGGGACAAACGGGCTCGCCTCCACCATGATAGAAGGGATGAAGAAGATCGGAGCCAAAGATCACGTATTTTATGGTTGCCTGATTTAGGACTTTATCTCTAAGACTTGTGGAGGTTCATAGATTTGAAACAGTCACTTCCTCCAGGTTTGAGCGTGTAAGATCTTTGAAGATGGAAGGACTATTTGGCTACAAGGCGGAAATTAGGGTTTGTTGTTGAGCAAAGACGACGGAGTTTGGGGTTGAACAACTTGATTTTCTGTTAATATATTTCAATGTATTTTCAACGTATCACGTGTATTTTCATGTATTTCATTGTATTCATTGTCTTTTTTTTTATCGTAATTCAATGTATCTCGCTGTATTCTGTGTATTTCATTGTATTCACTATCTTTTTTTCCATTGTATTTCAATGTATCCCGCTGTATTCTATGTATTCATATTTTTTTTTCAATTAATATAATTTATGTATTCAGATGTATTATATAATTTCTCTGAAGAGAGCTATATTTTTGGGGTTTTTTCCAGTTGAGAATCTTTTTTATAACTGAAAATACAAATTTTGTGTGTTATAATTAAGTTTGTTGAGTTATATTAGTAGTCTATTATGTTAATTGATACACTTTCCATTTAAAAATAGTGTAATCCCCTGTTTCACGTCGTGAATACAGTCGAATACAGCCGAATACGGTAATCTGTCCAGCTGTAATCCCATGTTTCACGCCATGAATACATGCGAATACACTCGAATACAACAACTGATTAGCTGGACTTCCCTGATTCACGCCTATTTTTGCTACTGTATTCATGACTACAATAACTTAAATATATCATATAACCACAGAAAATGTATCTATAATCCGTAATATAGCAAATAATATCTATAGATGGCTAATTACTACTAAAAGATAGTGTTTTATGAAAACTTCTCTTAAAAAAAGCGTTGGGGTCCCTTTTTTTTAACCTCCTTACTAATTTTATTTGCTGTACTCATTTCGTCTCTGAAAACAAGCCCATGATAAAAACTCTCATCCCCGAATATATCACTTAAGCCTATCCTAGAGTTTATATAACTAAGAATAGACAAGTATGGATTTTAAGAGAAGACTTTAGGGATTTTAAAAAGTTGATTGGCGCCCATCTCTTAGAATTTTGAAGCACTTACTACCGAACGGAAGAGTACTCTGATGAAGAAATATGGTGCACGTGAACTCGTGTTCCTTGCGTTAAACTAGGTCTTTTATGTATATAATTTTTAGAATTGATCTAATATTATCTGCTAGCTCCCATACTTCAAAAATGTTGAATGATGCATTTGATTACGTTGAATGCTGAGTTATTTACTTAGAGGAATAGAGATTAATTACTTTATTCCCATATATATATATATATATTAACTACTTTATTCCCAGCCAACGTTTTATGAGTCATTTTTGTTTCCACACTTCCATAAAAAGAATCTACTTTTGACTCCGTTAGAAAGTTTGAAGGAAACACCGCAAAAATAAGAAGATTGAAATGTGATACTTGATATGAAGAAAACGCCTATATAAGTAAATACTATATTATTATGTTCCACAAGAAAATAAAGAAATATTTCTTCCTATATATGTTTGACAAATGGGCGTGGAGTCATAGAGATAGAGAAACTAAGTAAAAGACCAATAAGCAAACCACAAATGACGAATTCTTAACCAAATACAGAGAAAGTTTCTCTTCCTAAAAAAAATATGAAAAGAAATATCTTAGGAATTATAACATGCTGATGCTTTCTTACAGCTCCAAATAAAAAGGATTTGAAGAAAAAAATTGAATAAAGTTGTATTTGAAGCGTCACGAATCAAACATTCGTTAAAATGCCATTGAATCAAATAGTTTTTGTACATTTAACCCCATTTTTTGTACATTTAACTAGTATTATTGCGCAACATAGGTTTGACATACAATTATTATTAAATAGTTAAGTTTTATTGTTAATACATGTATTCTTATTCCACATTCTAGATTTTCCCATAAATTCAATTTGGATATTATTTAGTACTATTAACCAAACATCATATGGGGAATGTTATGTTAGGGATTAATTTTTAAACTTCCTCCAACTTGTTATGTTCCATTGTAGATCAAATGAATTAATTTCAATGTCCTTAAATACTTTCCTCATCTAATTGCAAGTCTTTCCTAAAACTTTATATACAAATAAATCACCAAATAAGAAATATTTAAAAGTAATTTAGAGAAAGCAAGAAATAGCGATTGGAATCTATCATAGAATCCTTTGTCCTTAATTTCCAAAACAACCCTATTTCTAAATTCGTCGTGTTTATCCTTTTCTGTTTTCTTCTTTTGACATATATCCAATTTTTTTGACCTCCTTTTTTCTTAGTCTTTTATTTAAATATCTAGATATTTTCTTTTTTGTTCCTTAGAGAAGGGGTTATTGCAATTGTTTCGAAATTGCAGAGACTCCACCTAGTAGACCCAAAGTCCACCCATTTTGGAGGCACACTGTTGTCCTTCACAAAGCCTACCTGTACGAGCGTCTAAACTATTTCACAAACCAATAAAATAACGCCACGATCTATCTGGACTGATCACCCGCAGGTGAGATAAGAAATTGGGTCAGATCTGGTAATAAGAGAAATATAAGGGGCCTAGGAGCAAAACAAATCCGCGTTGCATTTGAATCACACCAAATTTATGGATCAAAACCCTCGCTTTTTATAGTTTCTCTCTCTCGAAATCCAAACCCCTCTTTCTCTCTCTAATATTTGGCCTCGCTTTTGGGTGGCGGCTGAAACTCTCACTCCACACACCCGTTGTCTCCCTCTAGGGTTTTACAAATCTCTCCTCCATTTTTGAAGATCTATCTTGTGTTATGGCAGCTGTTGCTCCTCCTGCTGATCGTATCCTTATAGATTTTACTTATATGGATATTTTTTGTTTTTTTCTTGTTCAAATCGACCCCCAAGTTTTGATTTTTACCTGTTTTATGAAGATATACATTAGATATAGGTATCTCTATGTTTTATGGGTAGAATTTTTATGTGAGTCTATTGGGATTCTTTAGATCTGGGCTATTGTGATATGCGTTGCTGTTATCTGCTTGATTTTTTTATTGGTTTTGGTTTTGTTTGGTGAGTGATTTATGTGTGTTATTCTGTTTTTGCTTTGTCTTTGAAAAATAATCTGTGTTTTTCTATTTTTTAAAATTGGTTTGTACGTGTGTTTATCGTGTAGATAGGCTGTTTGATTTTTTTTTAAATAAAAATGTTTTGCAGCTGGTATATGTTGGAAAATTTTGTAGCTGATTTGGTGATATTTAACTTGGTGTTTTCTATTAACAACAGTAGAAATTAGATTTGGTTTTGGTTTAAAATTTCTTTGCTAAATTCTTTAATTATTTGAAATTGCGGATTTGAAGAGTTTTATGAGCTAATTTTTAGTAAATTTACATAATTCCAAAAGATGTGTGTTGCTCAGTACAAATTGATTGATATGTTGGAATTGTTCTTGCCCTAGTTTGTTACTGTGTTTTTGGGCTAATTTGTGTGAAGAAGTGCTATTCCTTTACATTTACTGCTACAGAAGCTGCAGATTTGCTGCAGAAGTTGTCATTGGATTCTCAAAATAAGACACTTGAAATTGCAGAGCCAAAAAAGAAGGTACCCTTTTAGTTGTTTTTTTCAAAATTCTTTTATTTTTGGTCAATTGGTCTAAAGTTCTTAATTTGAAATTCTGATCCTTTTTCAGCCTGTGGACTCCAAAGACGTGGGAAATGGTCAGATCCAGTCACTGGATCGGTCAGTTACCCCTCTATTGCCTGACTTCATGGATCCAACTTTGTGCTATGTTCCTAATGGCTATCCCTCTTACTATTATGGTATTGTTAAATATCATCTGAATTAAATTTATGGCTTCACTTTGTGTCAGAACAGCCCATATGTACCTCTGTTAGGATTTTATTAAAACAAAATATACATCTGTTAGGATAATGATGTTTATTTCTTCACAATTTAGCACATCTCTTGGTTCATATCGACATTCTTTTTAACATTGACATTCTTTTCTATTCTTCTATAGGGTATGATGGTTCTGGTAATGAATGGGAGGACTATACAAGATATGTGAACCCAGAGGGAGTTGAGATGACTGTAAGTTATTCTGCTTGCGACGCTAGCTACAGCACTTGATGTCTTAATCTATTTGCTGGATTCAATCTTTGATGTCACATTGCTTTTGTTTATTATTTATGTATTTTGGTTTTGATATGATGAAAATGCAGGGAGCTTATGGGGACAACGGGTCATTTATGTATCAGCATGGCTATGGTTATGCACCCTATAGTCCATATTCACCTGCTACTTCCCCTGTCCCGACTGTGGGGCATGACGGCCAGCTTTATGGAGCACAACACTACCACTATCCATATTTCCAGCCCCTCCCTCCAACCAGTACTCCATACACTACTCCAGTTGCCCCGGCCAAAGGTGAGATCGCCACCTCTGCTGCTGCTGACCAAGCACCATTGTCTGTGGATTCCGCTAATGGAAATTCTAATGGCATTGCAAATGGTGGTGTAAAGGGAAATACTGCGCCTACGCCTGTGAGACCTGCATTCCAGCATTCATCCTTAAATGCTAATGGCTCTTTTGGACGAAGTGGTGCCTTGCCTGGAGGAGTTGCTTCGGGCTATCAGGATCCTAGATTTGGTTTTGATGGTGTAAGGTCTCCCATTCCATGGTTAGATGGGTCAATGTTTACTGATGGGCAAGCTAGGCCAGTGGCGAGCAATCCTATTACACCTTCATTTTCAAATGGCGGTGCTGTTCCATCATCAAAAAATCAGAACGTTCATCCACATCTAATGGTATGTTGTATTCTACAATATTGATCTGTTATTGCACTTCTCATTACAGTCTCATTCGTGAGACTTAGAAACTCCGTGTTTTGTACTGTATGGTCAGTCTGACACTATTGTTTCATTGTCAGGGCTTGCACCACCCTAGGCCCTCGTCTGGCATGAATACAGCTAATGGGTATATGAATACGTTGTATCCCAATAAATTTTATGGGCGGTATGGGAACACATTCAGTTCTGGCATGGGCTTTGGATCTAACAGGTATGATTCTCGCGCTACAGGTCGTGGGTGGACACCGGTTGACAACAGGTTTAAACCCAGGGGTAGAGGAAATAGTTTCTATGGCTATGGTAACGAGAACATGGATGGTTTAAATGAGCTCAACAGGGGACCAAGAGGTAAAGGTTCCAAGAATCAGAAGGGTTTTACACCAGTTGCTTTGGCAGTCAAGGGGCAGAACATCCCCCTAACTGTAACCAATGATGCCGAGAAAGATAAACCAAGCCTGATTCCTGACAAAGAACAGTACAACCATCCAGATTTTCCAGTGACATATACTGATGCCAAGTTTTTTATCATCAAGTCTTACAGTGAAGATGATGTGCACAAAAGCATCAAATATAATGTGTGGGCTAGCACACCAAATGGTAACAAGAAGCTTGATGCTGCATATCAGGAGGCTCAACAAAAATCTGGAGGCTGTCCTGTCTTTCTTTTCTTCTCGGTGAGCTTTCATATTTAAATTGTTTCTCCAAGTCGTTTTTGGTTTAATCCAGGTATACATGGATTTACATGTAATTTAGAATTGTTTTGGGTTCACATCCTCATTAATTTTGATTGCTTATTTTTGGTCTTTTTATCCAGGTAAATACAAGTGGTCAATTTGTTGGTGTTGCAGAGATGGTAGGACCAGTTGATTTCAACAAGAGTGTGGAGTATTGGCAGCAAGACAAGTGGATCGGCTGCTTTCCTGTAAAGTGGCACATTGTGAAGGATGTACCAAACAGCTTGTTGAAACACATCACGCTGGAGAACAACGAGAACAAGCCTGTTACCAACAGTAGAGATACTCAGGAGGTACGCCACATGCTCTAATATTATGAGCTAGATATAAGGGTAGTAATTGTCGGGTGATCGAGTGTAGTATGTCCTAGCTCATTTGACCTTTGGGTAATTGGAATTATGTTTTTACCAACTGTTTCACTTATTCCAAAAGAACATGGTTTTTACCAACAGTTTCATTGTTTTGTACAGGTTAAAATGGAGCAGGGCCTGCAGGTGATAAAGATATTTAAAGATCATGTTAGCAAACAGTGCATCCTTGATGATTTTGAGTTCTATGAGGATCGTCAAAAGAGAATTCAGGAAAAGAAGGCCAAGCAGCAGCTTTTCCAGAAGCAGGTAGAATATATGAATATATACACACACACGCGCGCGCACACACTAAATTTCTGGCTATGAAATGAATTAAAAAAGAAGAAAAGATTATGATCAGGTGCTTTCACTAGTGCATTTAGCAGGAATTGATATCTTCGTAGTAGTTATCTTCCTCTTGGTAGTAAATAATGCTCTTCTTTTTGGTTGTCTTAGTCGCAGGTGTGGGAAGGCAAAGCCACTGAAGAGAAGAATAAAGACAACTCCAACGGCGAACTTAAATCCCAGAAACTTTCAGAAGTTTCTGCTGTTTTGAACAAGGGAAGTTTACCAGCTGCTCAGGCTAATGGAGAGGTCAAGCTTGCGGAAAATGGATCAGTTACAAAATTAGGAGACGATGTGAAGGTTGCTAAACCAGTCACTGTATCCGACAAGAAACCTGTAGCTAAGGGGATTGCAAATGGGGTTGTTAATTGATGCTAGCTTCAGCTCATAAAGGGTGGTCAGTGGTTAACAGGTCCTACAATGGAGCTTTAACTACATGATTTGCATGCAATTGCTTGGTTAGATCTCATAACCATTGGGCTGCCCTTTTTGTCCTAGCTGCATTTGTAGTTGGTTCTTGCATTAAGAAATCTCAAGAGAGAAGTCAATAGTGGCAAAGGCTAATTCATCTGCTTCTAGGATTTCAGGAAGTATGGAAGCCCCATATATCCTCATAGGCAAGTTTCTTTACTTGGCTTTAGTTTCTGACTGGTTTATACCTTAGGGATTTGGGTTTTAGGATAAATTATCATTTTGTTTTTTTTTGGTTTCTTTCGACTTGTGTCTTTTTGGTCCATTTTTTTTCAGTTGGGTTTTACAGTTGGGGTTCATGTTATTATTAGTTAGTTTGGCTCCCAATCCTATCTTGTACATCTAGATCCTTCTGTTGCGGCATGACATCAGTGCCTTTTGTACTAGTCAAAAAGAGCTAGAAGCAAGGTGGGAATGCAATATAGTTGGCTCAAAAGCTTTTGATTGTAGTGTTTCATCTTTTTTTTTTTTTTTTTTTTGTCGACGGTTTTGTATTCATGTTAATTTAGTCAAATCACACCTAACCTGGAAAAGAACTTGTATGTCGTTTTATATTGAAGTTAGTAGGTGTTCTCACTTAATATTATGCGAATGTTGCAGTACTAATTCAAGATGCTTTCGAGAGCTTGTTTTCTTTTTGCGGTAGTTTCACTAGGGGCGGGTGTTTGGGTAGTCCGGATTGAATATGAAAATTTTAGTTTGGATATTTAGTTTTTGGATTAAATAAATGACAATTCAAGTTCGATTTCTGATTAATCGTCCAAAATTTATGAAGCGCCCCTGCAAATGTACCAGAAGGACTGAAATTGTCTATCATGTATATGTACGTGAAAGAGGGAGGTTTGAGATGGATTCCATTTTCTAAAGGTATTTTTAAACTCCAGTTACTGAATTCTGACCATGAATGTCTAAGCAAATTTTTTCTGACTTGTTAAAAAGAATATCAAAGTATATTTTCTGAATATGTTCGAGGCAGACATGCATCTACTTTTTCCTATCAGTAAAGGTATTTTTCTTTTACTTCCTGAGCCGAGGGTCTATCGGAAACAACCTTTCTGCCCCATCGGGGTAGGGGTAAGGTTTGCGTACACACTACTTTCTTCAGATCCCACTGGTCTATCGGAAACAACCTTTCTGCCCCATCGGGGTAGGGGTAAGGTTTGCGTACACACTACTTTCTTCAGATCCCACTGGTCTATCGGAAACAACCTCTCTGCCCCATCGGGGTAGGGGTAAGGTTTGCGTACACACTACTCTTTTCAAACCCAACTTGTGGAATTTTACTGGATTGTTGTTGTTCTTTCTTTCTTACAAAAATAAAATTCAAATAAAGTATTCATGTTTAATTACCTAATAAGTTTCTCATTCTCACTGTAATCATCCAATTAAAGTATTCAACTAATGAAATCATTATCAAGAAAATAAAACAAAGACATTAATAAGGCCTATAAGAAGTAGCAATAGTAAAACTATGTTAAAATATAAAGTATTTTAACAATAATTTAGTACTCCAATTAGTATTGGATATATGAAATAATGTTTAATGGATATGGTATTGAATTTATTACTATTGATATATGGATAATGGACGAAACATAAAGTATAAAAATTACGGATTTTCGAATATCCACAAATCTAAAGTACCAAATCCAAAAAAATTAAAAATTAAATCCGCAATCCAATCCACAATAAAAAAATCCAAACCAAAATCCAAAAATTTGAATTTCGAGTTTGCCCAAACTAAGCACACCCCTAAGTTTTACATTGTTTACTATATTTAAGAGCAGCGCAATTTGGATATTGTTTTCTTGCTCTCGATCATATTCACGTTGCCTAATTATCCGTTTAAGGATGTATGGTGGAAGTTGCCTCCAAAGAAAAAGAACTAGGGGTATCAAATGGGTGGGTTGTGTCAATTTTGGGTGAGTCAATAATTGGGGGGTCAAAAGTTACTTGGGCAAGATGGACTGAGTCCAGATGAAATAAAATTAAGAAATTTTCATAAAGCACTATCTTTTAGTGGTAATTAGCTATCTATAGATACCATTTGCTATATTACGGATTGTAAATACGTTTTCTGTTGTTATAAGATGTATTAGATGTATTTAAGCTACTGTATTCATGAATGCAGTAGCAAAAATAGGCGTGAATCAGGGAAATCCAGCTAATCAGTTGTTGTATTCGAGTGTATTCGACTGTATTCATGGCGTGAAACATGGGATTACAGTTGGACAGATTATTGTATTCACGGCGTGAAACAAGGGATTACACTGTTTTTAAACGGAAAGTAAATCAATTAACATAATAGACTCCTAATATAACTCAACAAACTCAATTATAACACACAAAATTTGTATTTCTAGTTATAAAAAAGATTCCCAACCGAAAAATACCCCAAACACATAGCAATCTTTAGAGAAATTATATAGTACATCTGAATATATAAATTATATTAATTAAAGAAAACATATGAATACATTCATGACATATAATGAGATAGTGAATACAATGAAATATAACGTGATACATTGAAATACAATGAAAAAAGATAGTGAATACAATGAAATACATGGAATTCAGCGAGATACATTGAATTACAATAAAACGAAATACAATGAATACATGAAAATACAGCGTGATACGTTGAAAATACACTGAAATATATTAACAGAAAATTAAGTTGCTCTGCCTCAAACTCCGTCGTCTTTGTTCAAGAACAAACCCTAATTTCTGGTGAATCCACCGTCGAGCAAAAACCCTGAATCTCACTGAGCTGAAATTCGGATCTACATAGACAACAACTTTTGAGAGCAGTTCGGTGACAAGAGCTTTGAGCAGTAGACCATGAAGTTTTGCCAAAAGAAGACCAGTAAATCGGCTATACTGTTTATGTTTTCTTCTCTTTAGTAGTGCTTTATTTTGCAACATGACTTCCTGTGAATTGAAAACGAGGATGAGAGACACGAAACGTGGAGTTTCTCAGCGTTCCTTTTACCACCGTGATGAGACATCGTGAACTTGAAATCACCGTTTGTGACTAATGTTAGGTGATGTGGGTGAGAGGAATTTTGAGATTGAGCATCGTGTTTTCAGGGAATGGGGGAAGAGAATGACATGTATCAAAGTAGAGAGAGAAAGAAAATAGTGTAACTGAATAGCGTATTTAGTGGCTTAGGAGTAGGAGGTAACCAAAATTAGATATTTTCTATAAACATTAAAAGGTATCTATAGAATATAATTTTTTTAAATGGTATTTATTTAAAATAAATAAGGTGTTAACCTTTGTTATAGGAGGTAAAAATTCCGATAAAATTTGGGTAATAGCCCAACCCACAAAATTCTTATCAAGCTTTACATAATGTGTTGTTTTCTTATAAATTGTATAATTACTAAATATGACATTTTTTTTCTTTTGTTATGGTTATATATAACATATCAAAAAAAAAAATTCTAAGAAATTTTGGGAAAGTTACTCATAGATCAATTTGGGCAAAATATGGTAAAAATTGCACGGGGCGGCCTATTTGGTCGCCCCCATTTAACCTATACCCATATTTTTAAAATTATTTAATCCATACCCTAATTTTTACAACTTCAGGCCCCTCCTTCCTTCTACCTGTGCGTTCCTTTCTTCCTCCTTTCTTTTCATTGGAAAACTATAGCGTGGAATTATGCATAACGAAACATATACATAAAGGAAAAAAAGGAAATCTTGCTTTTCTTTCTGTACGATGAGGGCAAAACAGATATGTGAAGGAAGAGATCTTCATCGTCTACTGTATACGAATGATATAACATTTGACCTCCTGAATTTGATGTTGTGATTGCAATTTTCAGCACAATGTGCCTAAAGCCAATGGATCCCATCCCATGACTCGAATATTGCTGGCCTGAGTTTACATAGTAATATAAACTGCAGTGTTACTTGATGAACATAAATGGTGCAATTTATGAAATTTTCCAAGCTACTGCTACAAACTTAATAAGATAACATTAGGTTTAGGGAAAGCTTCTTTGAGGCAGTAGATCTATAACGAGTTTGTGACTTTAAATATAGTCCATAAATGAGATGGAGTTCAGAAATATAGAACAAAACTTCAGCTAAAACATGTTGAAGTTCAGCAAATAGAGAATAAAACTTCAACTAGTAAGATGCTTATTTTCAGTAATTACAAACAAAAACTTCAGCCAACACTAAGTTTACGCGAAAAACTTCAGCTAAAACATGTTGAAGTTCAGCAAATAGAGAACAAAATTTCAACTAGTACGTAGTGCTGAAGTTTTACAAATGAACTAAATAACTTCAGCATCTTCTGCTGAAGTTTTTGAAAAAGCTTTATGACAAAACTAATGAATCCAGGACAAAACTTCAGCTTATTTAGTGCTGAAATTTTTACAAATAAACTAAATAACTTCAACATCTTCTGCTGAAGTTTTTGAAAAAGCTTTATGACAAAACTATTGAATCCAGGACAAAACTTCAGCTAAAACATGCTCAAGTTCAGCAAATAGAGAACAAAACTTCAGCTGGTAGAATGCTTAAGTTCAACAATTACAAACAACTTCAGGGCCGTCTACTAGAAAGCTAAAGTTTGTGTGATTGCTTTTGCTACTTCAGGCCCGTATGCCTGAAGTTTACGCGCAAAGTGGGTACACTTGCAATTTTTTTTGCAAAGTGGATATAATTTAGAACGTGACCCAAAAAACGGGTATAGATGTAAATCCCTCCAAAATCTATACAATTTTAAATAGATTGAGATGAGTTGGTTCAAGATGGACTAAGCTCAATATTAGACGTATTATGCTTAATGTTTTAGTTTGTTAGATTAATTTGAAGTATTATGTTGAAGGCATTGAACTTTAATTTGAAGTATTAAATGTAAACTTTAATTTACAACTTTGATAGCGAGTTCATCTTAGTATATATAGTGTGTATATATATATATACACATCGAAATTCGAATATAGCTTATATACTATACACTTAGTATATCTATAATACTATACTACTATATATACAATCTTATATAAGGCAATATACTATATAAGGCAATTTCTTGTAAATTATCTAAA